AAGCGATTTCTATTAGACAAAAAAAAAACAAATCACGCACGTATAACACACAAACAAATCGATATCTCAAATTATAATCGATAATCAATAAATTATTTCTGGATATTACGCGTTCATTATTATCGGTTTAAAATACATATATTTTTAAAAATCCAATAGGACATTTTTCTAATTGAAATAAATTCAGACGGCAGCACCATCGACAAAAAATAACACAGACATGTTGACGTTGCTAAGATGCGTTTTAACTTTAATCAACGTTTATAAGTAAATTACTTAATATCAAATTAAAATATTCCAAGCAAGTTGTAATTTGTGAGATATCAATATTGCATTGCTTTAAATTAGACGCATTATAAAATCTCCTCGATATTAATTTTCTACTGTGAAATATTTCCTTTTTAGATGTATACCTTTTTAATTATGCAATCATCTGTTTCTCTCTCATTATCAGACCCCTGATTTTTTTTCTTCTCGTGAAGTTTATGCAAAAACTTATATACTGTCTGTATAATAAAGTTGTAATCTACCGAATTTCGACTGGCCGTTGGAATTTACAAACGCGCTAACTTGTTGAATATACTTATTAAACTTTCCAATCTTTCGTCATGTTCGATTACTCTGTGGATTCGTATACTTCAGCGGTTAACGAGCGGGAGATCTTTAACATGTTATTACTTTGAATTACTATTCTCAATGTTAAATAACAGTATAAACTGTGCCCCCCTAAGTGCCTACATAGTTAGTGAAACGTTATCAACATTTAGTTAGATAGTTTACGAGCATAGATGATTGTTGCTGGCGCTTCTCACTGTTAAACCAATTTATGTCCCATTATTAAGTTGTAGTAACGAACTTAATTTCTCCGTTTATAACAAAGAGAACTTGTGTTATGATCACATGATAAACGAGTGGTAAATATCAAAGATACTTATAGAATATTGTAAAAATCTCCAGTTTAATATTGTAACTAGGGTTACCACGTACTTTATAATAAAGTATTGTACGTTATTTCAGACAATTGTACTCTATACTCTATAAGAAAAATAAAGTACACGAAAACACTTTATGTCGTATGATTTGATTTGTTTGTGATTTTGAAGCTTAGTCGTAAGTATTTTTTCGTTAAACAAAGTTTATCGATTCATGCTGAATCGATAAATAAAAAGAAAATGTATTTTTAAGTTTAGTAATAAAGAAAAATAAATAATACTTTATTTTGAATCAATTCACTTTGTTTTTGTACCTATAATAACTAATGTACTTTAATTGGGGAAAAAAAGGTGGCAACCCTAATTGTAACTCTATTCTATCTCTATATATTGCGCTACAAAGTACTGTCTTTAATTAACTCATTTAGTATAAAATCATTGTTCTCTTATCACCTTTGTATTTTTTGGTTTTCGTCTTGCAAGTTTAAAGGGTATTTTTAAGGAAAGGTACCCGAAATTTACCTAGCTTTATATAATGTAGCTTATGGGTATGTTGATCCGATTCTAATGTATATATTCATATGTATTGTTTATAATTATTTTTGTCTGTTGTCCTCAGGTATTGCAACGAGACGTGGAATGCCACGGGCGGATCGTGAGCTCAGTGGTGCGGCTGTGCGGTGGCGGGGACGCGGCACGTGCTCTAGAACGGCGCTGGCATCTTTTGTACTTGCGGGCCATCGAGTGGCAGTGCCATCTGGAGGCTTGCCTCGCTAGAATCGATAACCAGGTGATTATACTTTATTAATCTTATATATAAATCAATTGCTGTGCGTTCGTGTCGCTAAAACTCGAAAACGACTAAGCCGAATTAACTGATTTTAAGTTTGAAATGTTTGTCATAGTCTAGGGAAAGTTAAAACGGTGAGAGATGTGAAGTACACCGAGCCATCTAGTATATAAAAATATTTAAATGTCGATATAAGAAGCTTTTTAAGCTTGCAATATTCGATTGGCAGTGCCACCTACTAATTCGCCTAATATCTTTTTATATCTTCACATTAGAGGGTAGGCAGAAAGAACCAAGCGGCACAAGGTCGTTTTCTAGTCTGTGGGTACACGTGCCTTTTGATAAAGTCCTTTCCAGTTTTTATGGCTTCTCATCTCACCTTGGCGTCACCGGCTTCTAAATGCTTCCACTTGTGCGTTATATAATATCCGTTTCTTCAGTAGCCTAAAAATTGTTGTCTAAATAAGTAAGCCAATTAGTTTGATTTGATGTTATGAGTGTTGTAAGTTTAATTCGATGTCTCATAGTTATTTAGAAATTTTATTAAAAATGGTGATTAAGTATACACGTGACTCCACAACATTTTACAGCAATTTTAAATGACAAGGAACTGTTAATTTTTCAATTTACGTTCCATCAACTGGCAGTAACCACCGATATGCCAGGCAAGGAAACCGCTTCAATCGATGACGAATATACACTGCCATAACATTTTAAGTTCAGCACATTAAATGTCAAATGAGTTCAAATGGGTTATTGAGTCTTTATACTTACACGCCAGTCATTTTCTAAAGTCATACATACTATAAGCTTGTAAAATATAGATATATATTAAGTTAAGAATAAATAGGTTACGATTAGATCAATTTTAAAAAAATAATTCATTTTCCCATTTCCCATGGAATGCCCCAGTGGTCAATTGTTAAAGCGGTCGAAACGGGATAGTTTGAGACCGTTTTTTGTATTTAAATACACGTTCAACCTAAAAAAATGGTGAATCTAATGAGGTTATCATTAGAAACAACAGATTTTTTCAATTAGTTATGATAAGTTAGTAAATGTAGATATAGCATCAACAAATTATTATTAAAATTATTTGCCCATTGTATTTATTAATAGCACTATCTATTACTGCTTGTCCTTACATACTCGTATTGTAAAATACGTTATCCGACTTATTTATGTGCATGAGCGTGATCAAATAAAAAATAAACTACCAAAAGACTTCATTCTTTTCGGTTTAGGAAAAATTCATAGTCTGTGGTGTGTAAACGGAAACAAAAGTAATTGACCCAAAGATCGCAGGTTTTTTACAAGACAATGTAAAGTATTTGACGAATTTTATCGGCAATAAATAAAGCTAATATGGCATTCACAAAACAAGTTGTGGAGAAAACCGTAGTCGTTTCATCTCATCGGTAAAAGTGACACGAGCCCACACAATTGCTCATTTTATTGTTAAGTTCGTAGAACTCTTTCCCATACTCAATGACAATAATACAATCAACCACCCGTCGCTGACTGTTTGCAAACACGACCCCCAAGTGGCGTGCGAAATCGTCCCCTTTTACGATCTATAAGGTCGTTAAGTCAAACCTAAAGATTAACTTAATCGGTACAGAATTTGTGCAACTACGGTATTTTTTATTATACCAATATTATTACATATTGAAGTTTCATTGGAAAGAAAATAAAATATTTCTTAGTAAAATCAAATAGGTATTCTTTGTTCATAATGCATAGGAGCGAACTTTACTGTGAATTGTGGTGAGTATTTTCCACAGACAATCGTGCCCAGAGGAACATTATATTGCTACAATATCTAACGAGTACATTTTATATTTAATGTATATCGCTTATACCTAGGTATCTATTCTACAATTATACAAAAAAATATCACCCTTCTTATTTCAAATTGAAATGGTTAACGGATACCATTTTAACCCCACAACTTGACTATTAAACGTTCAGAAGGGTTTGGTCACACGTTCTAGCTGTTATAAATTATATATCTGTTCGAGTGTGGTCTCATGTGGGCAATGTTTATGATATATCGTTGCTAGGAAACAATTTGACCTAAATTCACATGTTGATTTTAGGATATCACGGATAGCACCGACCGCACGCATGGTTAGGCCCAATTGAAATCACTGGGTTATAAATTTGTTTGTGATCTTATAAGTACGTTTTATTGCTAGTCATAAATTAGTTTATGAATATGATTTTCAATTGTTTGTTTAGAATTAAATTCCAGTCAATAAGAGACTGAAGAAAGTTTTAGTAAAAACAAAAAATAACATCGCAAACTGGCTAGCCCGTATAGATCAGTCAGATGTCTTTGCCTTTAATAAATAGACCAAAGCAATTATTGAAAATTATTTTATTTATGTATGTTTCTAAACTCTTATTTTATTTATTTTTTAGGGTGGAGCGTCGATAGAAGCTGCAAGCGATAGCGACGACGAGCCGGCTTTGAAACAGCCACGTCTTAGTAGAAGAGGCTCGCCGAGACGACAGCGGACTCCGGTCAATGCTAGGCGAAGGAATCGTTCTGTGGACAGCCGACAGTCCGCCTCCGAGGTATTTCTTGGAAACTTATATTATTAACAAAGAAGGTAAATACTATGTACGATATACGAAAACTCGGTGTCTGCAAAAGTAGTACGAATCAAATTTGACTTAAAATGACAATGCCAGATTCTGTCCCATTATGTACAGAAAACTACACGGTGATTTCTTGATGATGAAATTATTGCCAATCAGTAGGATTTTCGCTTATAAATCCTTGTTAATGTACTTATAAAGATTTAACTTTTTTCGCTCTGATTAAATTTAGAGTAATAGGGGTTTCATATCCATAGATTAACAATGTCATGTAGGGTCGACGTCGAAGAGATAATTGAAATCCCCAAAGGAAATAAATACAAACCGACGAAATTAAATTACGAGCGACAACCCATTCCCATGTTAATCTTTTTTTTTATTACTTTGCATAATATTGAATTGCGTGGTGCAGTATTTGCAGAAGTTAAGCAACTTCCTAAGAGACTGGTCATGAAATGGATGACCATAAATATATTATTTCGATCTAGTTCGCGTATTTTTTAAATAGCATGTCCAAAGTTTTTATTTAGATGGGTAATTTTTATGAAATGTAACAAGTATAAAGAATCTTGTTAAATTATTTTTAGGAGGAACAAGAATATGTGTTAAACTATACTTGGAGAGGCTTCGGCTCTGACTGTGAATCGGAATTGGCGAGACCGCGGGACATAAACATGGCGGACGAACGGAGGGTGCCCGGCCCGTGTGACGGCGCGAACAGATCGGACACGGACCAGACTGTGCCCGGTGCTATGGATCAAATCGATGGTTAGTATCACTGTGTCACTTCCTATAAACGGAGAGCGCTTGACAGAAATATGCAATACCCAGTGCGGACGGCAGGCGCTGGAATATCTGTTGGCGGTAGTACGAAATAAACTTCTAGCTGTTGCTGTATATATTTGTTCCATCAAATAAATGTCTTGGGTATCTTTTTCATAATAAACTTTTAAATAAATTTTAATGAATAAACTACTAATAATTTTGTTATGAATTAACTTTCAACCATTACGAAACTCTTTCAGAGCTTATTTTCACACCAATTTCCGAGATCTGCTTAATTGCCGCGTTTCATGATTGTAGTACAATCTGAGTAGTTTAGTCGTTTTTTTTTATATTCAGAATAAGTCTTTCACTAATATTAGACAATTAAATATATGTTACGATTTTTCGTACTTTACTTTGTCCCGCCGTCACCTGGTGTTCCAGCACCGGCCTCCGCACTGGGAATCGAGTGGTGTATACACTAAGTACACTAACGTATTTAAATAGTAATCTTTAGAAACTCTTCAACATTTTTGTTACGAACTCCTATCTCATTTCGTGCGGCAATAATCTAGACCCACAAACATTTAATATATCGGTTGAACTAAATGAAATCCTCTCACAGTACAGTATTAAACGCTGACTGCATTTTGATGAAATGCGATGTCAACCAAATCGAAGTAAATCGAGTTATGCAGTAGATATGCAGACGTTTTTTTGACCCAGAGAAAATGCATGACGCGTTAGCCTGTTGCCTAACGGGATGGCAGGGGTATGTGGGACTCTCCCCCGTTAACAAATCGTTCATGGAGAACCACTAGCAGGCAATAGAGCAGAGTCTACCCACAAAACAAACCCTGGGCATGCCGACGATTAAGAGTAACATTAAAATTAAATGTATAAATTCAATTTCCAAATTACAACGAACAAAAAATGAAGGCATCACCACGTTACATTACATTACAAATTAATAATAATCTCTCGAAATATGCAAATGTATGTTAAGGCCCTAGCAAATGTATGTTTATTTAAATTGACTTCGGAATGTCCAGAACAAACATTCGTTGTAATACAGTGTCACTTTAAACACGACCTGTCACAATATGAAAACAGAATAAGTATAATAAATCAGTGCATGTAACGAGATGTGCTTACGCTTTCCGTTTTCTCACAAAAGAAAATATTCAAACAACAAATCCAGCTTCATTTGAATATTAAACAATAGCCTGTTGATGGCATACTATTAGAAACAATGACAAAACAAACAAACCATTCACTCGTTTTCTAGTTCGTTGAGTGAGTGTTAACGCTTACTAATTTTTTACAGGTATCGAATCGAACATCTCCGTGACGATAGAAGAGAAAATGAAGACTCCGCCTACCGTAATAAAAAGGAAGAAACCTGTTGACACGTCGAAATTCAATCAATCTGATCGTAAATCTAAAAACTGCGCCACATTCTACTTCAGACACCATGATACGGACTCCGATAGACAAATGATTGAGACTGATGAAAAATCTCAGGAGGAATCGTCGGAAGAAGACGAATGGACGTACGTGGGTGGGCCTAAAATAGCAAACGAAGACTCGACAGATATAATGACTTCATCAGTCGAAATCCAATGTGAATTGCCCATTGACGACAAGAAAGCGCCATCTCCGAAACCGAAATTGGAATCGTCCACGCCTGATCTATTACGCGTCGAGAACACGAGATGTAAAGATATAGAACGACTCGTGATACAAGCGGAGGAATTGGTACAGAAACAAGCTCATCAGAATTTGTCTAAGAAAAAAGGAACGAGATCTTTTAAGCCGCTGATGTTTGAAGAGGAAGGGACTAAAGCGAACAGAGCTAAGATGTCGAGGATCAAAGAATGGCTGAATCAAAGTACGGAAGATAAAAATGATAATAACCAGGTATGTTTTGAATTTTATATTTAGTCTGCCGAATTTTCGATGCTGTGTTTAAAATGTTACAATTTCATTTTTTTCTTTTTTTACAAGATACAACATTTTTATTTGTTGGATTACTATGAATTGTTCTAAGAGAAATTATAAAGAGTTTTAATCTTACCAAAGATAATCGTGTATCAAAAATCACAGAATTTGCTGTAAAATCATGCTTTTATTGCCAATTTAACGAACGCATTCAATTTTATTTTGGTGTTCAAAACAATATTTCTGTTTTCATGTAATTTGCTGGTTTAAAATATAAATAATCGGTTTTATATATATACTAGTATTTTTAACAAATTGTCGTCATCACCATCCACCAGCCTATAGAATTCCTCATTGTTGAGCCAAATGTCTTATCCGTAGAAAGAAATAATGGGAGAAAAGTAATGATGCTTGGGTAAAAAAAAAGAAATTCTATTTAGTCAGTCAGTCAAATAATAGAAAAATATTAGATAGGTACATATATGTTTTTTTTTTACCTCAATTTAACAAGAAATAGCTTAGATAACAGACATTAAAGTTGAGGAGTAGGGGCTCGCTTCGTCACAGTTTTGTAGAAATTGTACAAAAACGTTGCGCCATGTTACATTTTAACTCAATATGTCGCCGTAACTTAAAACGTGTTTAATATTTTTCAACAGTCTACCTGACGGACAAACAAAAAGAAATATTATCATTCCTAATACCCTAGTTCACCACTAAGGCCCAATACGGATTGTTGGCTCAAGCAGTTTTGTATTAAAGGATAACCTTGAATAATTTGTAAAGCAGATACGGGATTACAGGTCGGTTCATATCTGAGGGACGATGTAAAACATCAGAACTGACAAATTGTAGATCTCACGACAGATTTGCACTAAACCTTAATGAGACTTTCAAAATAACTTTCGGAACCCCTAAATGAAATTATCAGCGAGCTTCCAGTTTATTATCTCTTATAAACACTTATTATAACTTTAAGCCACCTTTGATTTTCTATCTATAATCATATACGTTTTGTTATAGTGTACCGAAAGTTACGATGCGTCAGGTGAATACACGACAGAGAGCGAAGTGGACACCTCACTCACTTCAGAAGAACGAAACCTGCACTCCTCTATGGATATGAGCACTTCCACATGCACCGTCACTCCTACACACCAAGCCAAGGTAAATTAAACTTTGTTACATGTGCACCAAGTACACATTTGCTTTGTGTGCAAATATGGTTAATCTATTTAACGAAAACCCACCTTGACTTACTTTTTGTCTCATACCGTCTCTTCTGTCATAATCAATTTGTATTAGGCGGCCAATGGTGTAAACCAAGACTTTAGACATGTCATTATCCGTTTTTTCGTGCCCTACAGAGAACAGATTAGAGGCCACTATTCAAATCGATTCCATCCACAAAGAAGGAACAATGAGGACATTGATGGTGGCTGGTGATGATAATCAATAAATTAAAATAAAATTTAACCTAACCTAACCATTTCCGACACATACGCTGTCACTAACTTCATATATCATATCACATCAGCTTGAGCCGTTAACTATTAACAGGTGCAACTGCGTAAGAAGCGGGGCGGCAACAGCGCCCGGCCATGGTCCGTCTCCTGTCTCTCTCAGCTGAGCGGCGCGGGCGTATCTCTGACGGTCACACCGACCGCTGGCGACGTTGCCGCTATGTCGCACAATATGTCGATATCAGAGTCCGCGTTGAACACCCTCGCATCTCCTCAGAGAGTCACTCCTGCTAACTCCAGTTCGAAGTTACGCGGTAGCTCGACTACTGTTCAGGTATTAATAAACTTGTTATAAGGTGATGGTCTCATAAATGAATGAAAGTGTTTCTAACAATTACTAATACAATAAGAGAATAAAATATGAAATGTAATTAATATAGCATTGTGAGTTCAAAATTTATCAAGTATAATAATAAGCATACATTTTCACATAAATTAAAGATTTTGAAAACATAGGCGCAGTCAACGGCACGCCAAAATTCTCCACTTGATTTTAAACCTTAATGTATCGAGGATAGAGCCCAAAATCACTTGCGGAAATATGACATATTATGGTGACATGGCATGCAGCCGTTGTACATTGACTAAACATTGAAAATCCTTTTATCACATACGCCGGGACAAACGCGGCTTCCAAAACACGGAGTAGCCCATCTCGTGACCGTACCTTGCGAAAGTTGCTTAACAACAACGATCGCGAGTAGCGGCGCTCATCCACTACGCTACCGAGCTTGCGAGAAAATACACTCACTAGTAGCGAAAGTAAAAAATGCTTGTTACTTTCGTATTTTGACCACCTGGATCTGGAGAATTTTACGTAATTGCCTGGAAGATAACTATAAAATGGATTTATAAGCGCGTTTATTACATATGTATTTAAATGGTTCCGATACTCGACTCCGTGGTTACTAAATTATGTAATATTTGGTACTAATTCAGAAAAAAAGCGTAATATATTGTTAGATAGAGTTATTAGCTAAACTCCAGTTTCATTCTATAGGGACACATCTCCAGTACAAACACGATGACAGAAGCGTGTACTTCATGCGTGGAAACCACCGACAAACAATGCTGGCTCCGTAGAAAGAGATTGAAGTTGCGACGCAATAACAATAACACAGCTAGAAGAGAGAGACTAGTGAAGTCCCTCTCTTTCTGCGGTCGACTCAGCCCCGAGATAGAAGATAAGAACGAGAGAAGCGCGGCTAGTGACCCAGCTACCAGCCGAAAGGGAAGGTTAGTATCGAACTTTTATTTGACTAGGTACCTTCCTTTACCGAGTGGTTCACGAGACGGTTTCTTTATTTCGCCATCTTTGAGGTCCCAAGTTCGATTCCCGGTCGGGTCAACGTAGAAAATGTACTTTTGTATGTTGTTAGCTCGAAAGAAAATTATTACCTTGAAGTTACTTTAAAAAGTAAGTCATTTAAATTGCAGTTTGCCACGACTTTTTTTCTTGGTAGCATCTTATACAACGTGTCCCAAAATTCAACGATAAGCAGGCGCCAAGAGGTAGACCTGCTCATGTGTACTTATGGAAAAAAAAGAAAAAAATTAATCTTTTTTATTATAAAATAAAATTCGAAAATTTTCGAAAGAGTTGTAGCGAATAGTAGTGCTACTTAGGTATCCGATACCAAAAAAAGATTGAACATAATTGAGAAGTTGTGGTCGTGGTAGTTGAAAATATCATAAAAGGTGTAAATTTTCGAAGATTTTCGAATTTAATTTTATAATAAAAAAGATAAGATATAATTTTTTTCTTATTTTTCCATAAGTACACATGAGCAAGGGTACCTCTTGGCGCCCGCTTATCGTTGAATTTTGGGACACGTTGTATATGAACTCTTTATTGCACACAAAAAAATACATAAAAGTGTCAAGTAAACGTAATCACAAAGGTGAGCTTATCTCTATTAGGGATCTCTTCCAGTCAACCAAGACGTTGTGAGAGAGTAAGATGTTTTACAAATATTATTATCCGTGGTAGAAGTCCCTTTCCAAATTTCTCATCAAAATTATACCTTCGGCATTCATTCAAAAAACGAACACCATAGCCTCTCGCGCCTTACACGACACCTTTTGTGTTGGAGAGATGGCTCGTTCCAGAGTTGTTACTTAGTTGGAAGATGAAAATAGTGGTTGAAAAATTATAACAATCAAAATTTGCCTTTAAAAAATGTAGCAAATGCGCTATGTCTACATTTCAGCAAATAACCCTAGCATATCCTAGCAAATAATCACCTATCCTCCAATTCTTATTTTATAAACTCAAGCACTTGTAACTCATCAAGCATCTTGTCCACAGATTCGATACAACCTCAACCTCTGGCAACGATAGCGACGAAGATCTGCGAAAGAGCATAGAGAAGACGCACATTTCCTCGAGAGAACAAGATAGTGCCATCCCGGAACAGAACGAAAACGAACAGATGTCCGTAGCGCCAAGCTTTAAATTAGGCCCAGCGGGAGGCGCTGTTAGACCAAGAATGGCTAAAAGCACTGAGAGGGAAAGATCTTTCCTGGCCCTAAGTTTAGGAGACCCCAATCAGCTGTGGGATTTGAGTATGGACAAAGACTCTGATATCGATAAGAGTGTGACCGCTGGCACGGAGGAGCATAGTTCATTTTCGGAGCAAGCTTGGGATTTTTATCAAGTAAGATTCTTTTAAATATACCAAATCAAATTAAAGGCGATAGCGAAATAACTATATCCTTCATGTTTACGTATTTTGATATGAAAGGACACAGATTATCGAATAAGGGAAACAACTCGTCTTTCGTTAAAAACTAAAAAAACACTTGTAATGCAATTTTAAGTCAAAATAGAATTACTAATATTAGAAATCTACCTTTTTTGTTGTGGCACAACAATGAATCTGATGGAAAATGCTATTGCTGTCCAATATCATAAATAGCTGCCAAAAGGCTCTTCATACCATTTTTAAAGGACCCAAGGTTCCTATTTCACCCTTCCATTATTTCTTAACAACTCTCACTGTCGACTAAATTCTTTCCAACTTTAACTAACAGGGCTTTTACTTTCTAACAGGAAAAGTACAACTCAGAGCCGTATTCCGAAGCGCCAGACTCAGACGCGGCTCGACGCTTGCTCGAATTCGGTGACGACTATCGTGCGTTCCTTGACTCGCAGTCCGACTGCTGCTCTAGTTTGTCCGCGCAGCCCGACAACGAACACAGTCCCAGCGGCACGAGAAGACGCCGCCCCTCCGAACTATCCCGAGAACGAAGCTTACCCCGCTACAAACGTCAAACTAAATCCCCAATAAACACGCCCCCTAGAAAACCCAAGAAATCTATGTCGAGCGCCGAACGTAAAAAATCTCTGTTGGACAGCCTCGAACGGTCCAGAAATAATACCAGCATAGAGAGCAACGATGGTGTCCGCAGACGGAAACCTTCTGAAAGCGAACGCAAGAACAGCAAACGGTCCCCCGAATTCGACTTGCTCAACATCCAGGCGCTGAGCAGGAGACGGCCCAGCTCGAATTTGACTAGCGACGAAGTAAATAGCTCGTTGGAATACACCGAAGTTAATAATCGTCCGGATATACTCGACTCGTTGAATAGAAGACGGCGGCCGGATAACGGGGAGACAGAACTGCAGAAGGTGGCTTTGTCGGAAATGCGAAGGCGTTCGACGGAGAGCGCCGATTCGGAAGACGAATCTTCGAGTCCAAAGAAACACAGCAGGAGGAACTGGGGCGAGGATTCCGATTCGGATTCTGAAGAGGTCCGCTCGCTTGTCCGCCGCTCGAGCACGCAACTGGAAACCGTGGAGGCGCTGATGGCGAGACAGGAGGCCTCGCCCGATTTGCTTCGAGCTTTCGACTACGTAAGGAACAAATTCGATACAGATTACAGTAGCTACTCGGAATCTGATGACGACGCCGCTTCATACGTAACGCGACGTCCCGCATGCTTCCGTGCTAGACTATGCCTCGCTCTTGCTGCATTCTCAATCCTAGTGATAATATACATACATCTACAATGACACCTGGCTTGGGCTTGTGTGATATTTATTATTATGTATGTAAGTATACGGTTGAAATTCGCTGCGATCGTCCGATCGTCTGAATCGTGTCTTAGATTATGATTACAAAATTGCACGTGTGTTTGTTGCGAAAAGTGATATGTACAAATTTTTATTCTCTAAATATTATAGTGATGGTAGTAAATCTGACGATCGCAGATATATACATTCCAATTAATGGGCCGAAAAAGTATTACATTGAATATTTTTAAGGCTATTTCACTTATTCATAAACACGTTCGAAGTGAAATTGTCTTTTCGAGTTTTATCTTTTCTATTAATCATTGTACGGTATTTCCCCTCACTAACACTTGCGTTTGTCGTGTGTTCGTGATAGTAGTTTAGTTTTTACTAACTGCCTGTTTTTTCTCTTCTCAAAAGATATTCTCGTCTCTTTCTGGTGGTGATAACTTGGTGCTAAGAAAAGTCTTTACTTAATTCCGCGCTTGTAACGAATAATTATTACGCTTAAATTAATGGTGCAGAGGGTACTGAAAGTTTCGATGGAATCATTCCTAGTTACCTGCGGCATACATTGACTAAAACGAAATGTCATGCTGACAGATGTCACATTTGACGTTTTCATTAACGTACTAAAATGTGAGCCGATGACAGGGTTAGATATACTGAGCGAATAATTTATTTAATTTATGATTATTATATAAGTGTGTACCTCAAATGAAACGAGATTTCTTGTCATTGAGTGATAGTAGTTTTCGTAAGTTTAGTAATGTGAATAAAACTAATTTTATATGGTTGTATTTTTTTGTATTATAACTTTCTTATGATTTCTGGCAAATATTTAGTTTATAAATGTCATTTGACTGAACTCCTCATCCACTCACGGTGTAAATTGTATTAATGCTTATGTTTAATAGGGATAGGTTGTTAATTGATCTTATTTTTTTATACAAAATGTTAAAAGTAATATTGTTTGTATAAATATTTAGAAGAATAAATGTGTCAGTTCTAAAATTTAAATGGAGTTTCAGTCAATTAACACCCTTCTCTATTAACTCGGACACATGATCATTAGAAAGTCTTCACATTTTAGACGTAGACAGTTTCTTGTAGAAATAAGGTTTTTCTAAATTCTAAATTATTTGTGTGTGATTAAGCTTGTTTTCGCTTGTTTGATTTGTGTTTGGCATTATTTTTTTTATTAAGTTTCTACACACTAAACAGAAGCATTATTTGATTTATAGAAATTGTTGCAAGCTACAAAAGTTTACGTAAAATGATTGAATACCGCATGTATTGTGATCAAAAAATATAAAACTTGAATATGAGTAAGTAAATGCATGATCATTATTAATCTGTAAATATAAAGTGAAAAAATGCGAAGTCTGATATTTATATGAATTTCCTGTCATATAATGTAGATACAAAGTTTGTGGAATAATTTAACAGCGTAGAATAACCTCACTTTTAATTTTTCTACGACTGTCTTAGTTTTCTTTGCCAATTGTTTTATTTTTCACTACGCAGACGGAGATTGTGACTCGGTGTCGAGAAAACATCAACTTGTTGGACGCAGCACTAGCTGGTGGGTCTTTATCTCCGGCTTTGCAAAGAGATGTCAGAGGTTAGTTGTATGTTACCTATTAATAGATAAACTGTATTAAACGAATAATACGTACGTCTTTGAGTCTATCTCAAGAAATCAGTCTTGCGGCAATTTGTGGAACTAAAATGACAGATCGGCCATATTGTCCTTGTTAGATATTATGATTGGTTCTTGTGTATTTCGTGTTGCTAGCAGTGTGTTATTTGCCATTGAATTCGCTATTTTATTTAGTTTCATTCGTTTAACATTTATCATTTATGTTGAAGGATTATGTTGTTGTTTATTTGGGAAAGTTACAAACATAATAGTAATATGTGTATAAATGCGTGTAACCCCAGAAGATTGGTTTAAACAATTTAATCATTTTCAATTTTCTTAATAATTAATGTTTTAAAATAGATGGGTTGGTAGATAATGATGATAGGTATAATGTTGGTAGATAAATGGACGGGCTTATAATTTCTACAGCTAGCAAAACTAAATCCGATCACGATAGTGATAATTATATTCGTAATTCAATTACATCAGGACTGTAGTGTCTGCAATAAATCCAATTGGCGACCACATTATATGATTAAAACTATTTTATTTTTATTTATTTCCACTCGCTATTCGAAATAGCGTGTGCAATAATTTGTTGGCCAGATTACATTAAATATTTGTATGATGTCACCATTTATATTTTAGTATACCTATAGTTATCTAAATGTCAATTCATTTATTTTTACACAAAATTTTTGGGAACTCGAAAATTAGAAGTTAGCAACACCCAGACGTTTGACTGCAGCGCCGCGTCTGCAAGGCTTTTTTCGGGAGACGAACTCTTATTGCTAACTTTCATCAATACTAGCACTGTCAAATTTTGACAGTTCACTCGCACTTGTACGACGAAGTTCGCACGCTTTAGCTTTAGCTTAAATTGGAAAAACTTAATAACCGAAGAGGGTAAAATGTGAATAAGGGGTTTTATTATAAAATATACAGCTTACAGATAATTGAAAAGTAATCTGTAAATGAATCTTCGACCAAACTGATACAAGAAATTTTGTTTTCGCCCTTGAATTCGTTAATTAGCTGCGTGCATTCAGGTGTGTTTTTCTTGCTAAAACTGGTTTTAAATGAATTAAAATGTTGGTCAACTAAAAAAAAACAGAGAAGGTGTTTTACTTACCATCAATCCACCCTGAAAGTGCAAGAATAAAGCAATTGCATTAAGAACGCTGCAATGGACCTAAAATATCGTATTTCTTGCAAAAATAACAGCGTCAAGTGGAAGTTGTTTAACTTCTCATGTTGCAACCGGTTCTTGAATGTATTTTTTTTATTTCAAATCTGACGATCAAGGCTTCTCGTGGACATAGTAAAATTGTAGCAGTTCAGTGTTGAATCTTTCAAATAATACCTGCGGTATTTTTAAAATTTATTCCTATACATAAAGAAAAGTCGAGGCTCGAAAACCCGGTTATCAACCAGCTAAAAAATTCCAAAGAATTTTGGAAAATGTTTCCATTTGTCGAAATGTTAGTATTTTTCTTGTGATAGTTTCTTTTTATATTACTAGTTTATCATTTTTAGGTATATATGTACCTATTAAAATTTAATTGAATCATAAGTAAGTAGTATTATATAATTAGATTCAATCTAAAAAAGCTAACGGATTTACTTAAAAAATTGAACTCGGGTTATTTATATTCCTTAAGTTATTTATTATACCTACTGACTGAATAACACTAGGTACCGAGGTCTTATTTGGCCACTAAAATCAGGTAACATGATTCATGTGAACTACATAATTAAAATGAACCTCACGAGCTCGGGTAGCTTTTTCTTGTCTGATATTTATCAGATTTCAGAATAAATTTGATCAATTTTCCTCATGTGAAATAATTTATTTGAATAAAATATATAGATAATTGCGTCCACTTTCCTACAAACATTATAAACCCTCAAATGTTTTTATATTAGTTAGGTAGGTAAGTGGGTATGTTCTGATAACTTTGTGTTAAAATAACAAAGTTGCTTTTCCTTTTTTGTCTGTTATTTTTGTGTCTTATTATTTTGTAATAAGTGATTTATTTAGAATAAATAATATAAGCTAAGTATGACAAAAATGCCTAAGTGCGAATCGGATTCGCGCACGGAGGATTCTGTACAAACCTATAGGTAATTTTTTTTAAATATTTTAATTATGTATATAATGTAACTAAAAATTTGCGGTTTACGCAATTTTTTTTTATCTGTGCTATAAAACGTTGCTTCGTATTGGTTTTGATTCCCTTGCGAGTTTCGGAAATTTGCTGCATTAACGGTTGTATCTTTCGATTGCGTTGGCTTAGGAGTTTGATATTTTCGCTGCTATAAGAGGCAAGAGACCTGATTATTTGATGTAAATGTTAGCTTGATACCTGAACGCGTTTCTGGGGAAAAGGGTCTTGAAGTTCGGACAAAGTGACCCTATAAGGATTCCGCTTTTTCCTTTCAAGGTACGGAACCCTAAAAAGTATCATATTAACATCTACACAATCAAAAACAATATAGAACATCGTCCATCATAAGAACAACCAACCAATAACCATTTAATGACACTTTATTGTTAATTTTTGACAAAACAGTTTCACGAAATGGTTAGTTTATATCGGGACACGAATCAACAGGGAACCCTTTTGATGTTTTGTTATTATTACTTCAGTTAATTACAACAAACTGAGAACGCATCAACTGTTTGTACTCAATCGTGTCGAGTTGACGACGAAGTAGATAAACCTTATAGGGTTTTCAATTTATATTTCTTTGGTGTTAAAGTGCTACAGAACCAAGGCTACTGTTTTCTTGACTTTAAAACTTTATATTAAACTTGATATCTTGTTTTACTTATCGGTAATTTTCATAAGACTTTTTAGTCTTTTTCCTTTATTAATTATACATACATCTGCGATGTAAGTTACCTAGAAGAGAGTTTCATACGTATATAATCACTTATTTGTACTATTATTATATACTTGAATTATTATTATTACTTTGCGAGATAAAACCTTGATCCATAGTTGGCACTGTCAGCATTAAATAATTATGTGCGGCAACCCTGCCAGCGGCAGCGTAACCCGGAAGCGGCGACACGGGCGGCGGGCACACCCACTCGCTCCTTTCTGTCTATTTCTGCCAACGAAAGCGGAACCGTCCCATGCGTTGGCGAATCGTGGAAACCCCACTCATAGTGACGTTTACGAAAACATAATTAACAAACTCGGCTAACAATAGGCTTGCTTCTTTTAAATTTAGAATAAGCTAATACCTAAGCAGCTATATATTTCAAAACTAAAAGCGATATCGAGAATCAATATAATTTACCAACAGGATAAAATTAATATAAAAACGTTTACGTATAAAATAGTTA